GATATTCAATATCTCAACCATGCTCTTAAATTATTCTTAATCTAAGGCCAAATCATTTTATAACAAGCTCTTAGCTATTCCTAGTCTAAGGCAACATTTCTAACCAGGCCCTTAAACTATAAATAGTTTAATGCAGAACACAAGAATCGATAATCCACCCTATGGGTCATGTGGATTACGTACCAACCGAACAATGATTTGTCGGGTGGGTGATATCCGGTCTGGATCCCGTACGTACGTTTTAACCCGAAATATGAATTGGTCAAGTAGGTATATCTTAGAGTTCTTCTAGATATCCTTAATAATAATCATCAATATACAAGTGGGTATATCTTAGAGTTCTTCTAGATATCCTTAACAATATACACTGTTTTCATAATCACCATTAATTCATTCATTTTTTTTTAATCATGACTTAATCATCAATAATCATTTTAATCAGTAGGTTTATCATTCATAATTATCCATAATAATTATTCATCATAATGATCATTCAACATAATATTTAATAGCAAACAGCGGCCTAGTCTCGGGTCTTAACACCCGAACTTATCGTCATGCATCACATAATGTTTTATATGCCAAAAACATCATTTATTATACAAAATCATATTTAAATTGTTCTTAATTAATTAGTATTTTCAAATAATATTTCCAAGAATATTTTCGGGACACTGGAATTGAGGAAAAATCGATTTTTGAATATATATTAATCCATTAAATTTATAAAATCGATTTTTCAACATATTTTAATCGATTAATTTGAAAAATCGATTTTTCAACATATTTTAATCGATTAATTTGTAAAATCGATTTTAATATATATTTTAATCGATTAAATACAAAAAATCGATTTAATACCTTAATATAATTAATTATTTTTTTTATTTTGATACACGTTATCTGAACAAGTTTTAATCGATTTTTAGGAAGAAAATAATCGATTTTCGATCACTGTTCATCGTCTTCTACCTTCGGTCCATTTTCAGACATATCACTTTTAGTTACCAAACTTCAATTAAACTATATAGAAATGTTCTCCAAGGTTCATAGATCATTTTAGAATTATTAAAACATATTTTTAACATCGAATTCAAGGTTTATGATTCTTGGTTCTTCAAACATGTCAAACACAAAACTCAACCAAATGACCATTTATGAACGTAAAAACAACCTATATGAACATTCTAATCTTTAGATATATCTACGGGCTTACCTCGAAGGTAAATGAAGGTTTTGAATATTTTCCGGCGAAACTTCCGGCAAAGATTGAGTAGATGCTGCGTAGGAACTTCACGTTCTTCTTTCGGCGATAGTGCGACTTAAGGAGACTCAGCATGTTACTCTCTGATTGGGGCTAATTTTTGGTCCAGTCGGGGTACACTTTTCGGTCCAACTTTCTCCGAATTGAATTCGTTTGCACCGTTGCGATGAGACAGTCGAACTCTATCCAACGATATAATTTTTATATTCATTTGTTATACTTTTCCCGACACCACATTTTTGGGTGTTTGACCTTAACAGAGTCAAAATTGGTTTAATTGACCTTTCTCATAAAAGGTTTTCTCATTTAATTCATATAAATTATTCTCATGATTTATTTCAACAAATCATTTCAATATTTACATTCCAAACAAATTCTTTATTTACTCTTGATTTGGGTCTTTACTCAGGTTCCCAATCAAGATCACACAATAAATCAACATGTTGGATTTATCTCTATAAGATTTATCCCAATTATGTTTTTTGGATATCAATATATATTTTATTCAAGCCCAAATCCCAACAACAATTTATTTTAATCAAAAAAAATTTTGTTTAATTGAATATTTAATTCAATAAATTTTAGGGTATATTTTGGGGCGTTACATTTCTCCCCCCATTAAATGAATTTCGTCCTCGAAATTCTTCTAAGGCCTAATGTTCAACATTTTGTAGTGATCTCACTTAAACATAACCGTGTCATGCTCATTTGCTTAAACCATAATTCCGTCATTATCCATACGGATACGTAATCTCAAACTGTCGATCGGTTGTACAGTAGTTCGTCATTCATCGACCTTATGTTGAAACATTTCTTCATTCATCTTTATGGTAGCTCTCATTTATCGTTTAATGAGTCTTCGTACTCATAGGTGATGACGTTCGAGTAGCGTCTCATGTACGACTTGTCATATTTAAACTTCTTCTATTAATTTGAAACCATATCT